AGTTTCTTCCTTCAGTAAAGGAAATCTCATGATAAAATTAGTTTGATAACCTGAAACATTAGTGACAAATACACAAAATAGAAGAAATCAGGAAGGGGGCAAATACGTTTTCACAGCACTGTATGTTGTATATATTCTCTGTTTATCCTCAAATGCATCAAATATTAAATATGCCAGTTGCACTTTTTAAATCTTTTCTTATAGATTCTTTTTCATGTTGAAATGATCGAATCAAATCATTTCTGCATATACTACTGCTCATTCTGGCTGCTTATTGGCCGTTCTACCACATCCTGAAGGTGTGCTGTTGAATTCAGATCTGGAGACTAGGCAGGTCACTTACGTTCAGTCATAGGCCTTTTTCACAACAGACATTTTAACATGTCATGATAAGCATGGCTGGAATGATGACGTAGAATTCTTCTGATTTTGTTCCATTATCCAACTTATATTATGAAAACTGAACAAGAAAATCCAAGTTTCCCCAAATTGCCCCTCTCATAGACAAAGTGCTGCACATAGATGCACTGTATGAATGTTTGCATGAATGGGTGAATGGCAARTAACTTACTATTATTCATTGSTGATGGGCACAAAAACATAAATACATTGATTTATGTATGCATGTAATTAATAATTTATGCATTCCTTAGGTCACCACTTTGATTAAGGCTATTTAATCTGTAATTTTGGGTGAACGTTAAAGACTTCATACAGGGCCTGATCAACTAAGATCTCATAATAAAACAGGTGGGGGGGACGGTGGAAGAGATGCCTCTAACCAATAGTGAGGTGAGAGCTGTGTCCTCTGTGGCACGAGCCCTCAGGCACAACACTCAGGCCATTATAGCGCACACAGAGTGCACACCAGGTACCTGGTATGATGAAGGCCATCAGTGCCCGGACAAGAGAGGGATTATTTTTGCTTCTGTCAGCCAAACATAACTAACATGAGCAGAAAAAACCCCGTTCTCTCCATCTTCTTCCATGCCGTGTCCTCCTCACCACAATATTTGCGGCAATCTGTGCGTACCGCTGTGCCAATTAGCAGGTACCTTTCAAACGTACTAAATATAGACGCAGTCACAACCACCGCAATTTCTTTATAGGCTTTGTAAATCACAATGCGTGTGCTAAATTATGGTATTTGCATTTTAACCTCCCATTATTTTGTGCACTCAGTTAGAAACGCCTGATATTACATATTCATTAAGGCGAATGTACTAAATGGAGAGCCATGTTATTCTTCACGCAATCCTCAGTGCCTACCATTAGTAGATCAGCTTCCATGTTTCTTTGCAAGGGTAATCAAGTTTGCACAAGTTTTTACATGCGCAAACCTTTAGTAGATCAGGTCCATAGTGTTGTGACTTGTGAGTCWGACTCGTACAAAGAGTTTTAATTACTTAGATCTTTATTGCTGGCTCCGTGATAATGACCCTGAAAGTTCTTGGATGTCTGGCCTACATAACCCAAAAGGTTTACTTTGAGGGCGAGCTGTCTCTTGTTATATTTTTATTGTACAACAGCATTTAGACAATAAGAT